CGGGCGTCACCGCGCGCGGGCGTCACCGCCGCCGCCGCCGCCGCCGCCGCCGCCGAATTCATCCTTCTTCGTTACCTCTCTCGCGCGACGCCCTCGATCGTCCGAGCGACGCGCGCGCGACGCCCTCAGAGTCACGTCTCTCGTTTCGCGCCGGGTTCGCGCGCTCGCTCGCGCGCGGCGCGAGGTGAAGTGACGACGATGCCGCCCGCGTCGGGGCGAATCGCCACTCGCGCGCGCGACGCACGCCGTGGACGACGCCATGGCGCTCGGCGACGTCGTCGACGACGACGACGATGAGTTTTTCGTCGTGCAAGACGCGAGCGGACGCGTGCACGGGGCGACGACGCGCGGGGCGGATGAAGAAACGTTGTTTCGCGCCGAGGCCTTGGCAAAGTTTTTGGACGTCGACGACGCGCTCGCGGAAAAGTGTCGAGCGATCGAACGCGAAGGGTCGCGATGGTTATCTTCCGTGGACGCGCCGCGATGCGGGGTCGAGCGCGCGGCGCGGGCGGTGTTCGAGCGGTACGCGAAGGGGTGGGAGTACGACGCGGAGACGAGCGGGGTGGAGTTCTGGACGCAGACGGAAAGGGTGGGAACGCATTTCGATAAGGATGAGGAGGCGCGCGAGCGGTATGGAGTGTGGTTGACGCCGCACGTCGCGACGGTGACGTACGTTGAGGGTGACGGCGGGTCGGCGCCGACGGTGGTGTTCGACGGGTTGACGCCGAGGAGTCAGCCGGACGCGGAGAATCACGATGGCAGCGCGTGCGAGCGAACGGTGGTCATGTTTCCCAGTCGAGGGGCACACTTCAAGTTCGACGGTCGTTTCTTGCACGGCGTGTACGAGGAGCTGTCGAGGGATGGCGACGAAGGACGAAGGACGACGCTTCTGGCGAATGTCTGGTTCAATCACAAACCCGTCGGCATCGAGCGTCTTCCCGATAGTTTTACGGACGACTACGAACCACAAATAGTGGAAAGCCCTGAGAGTTTGACGCCGTCCGTGCTCTGCCCGGCGTGTCTGGACGTCTCGCCCATGAAGAAGTGCACCTTTGGGCCGACGGGGACGGAGTACGCACTCGTCGGCGCGACGGATCTGCCGACGGTCGCACTTCGAGCGTGCGCCGACGCTGGAATGTCTCTGATCTTTTTAGAACATCGCGATGGCGATGATATCCGAATCGAAGTTCCGAAGGACGAACCCGACGCAAAGCGTACGAAGGCAACGTAGGTAAAAAATCGTTTCTTGTAACAGAGCTTGAGAGCGTCGATTTCACATCTCACGCGGCTGATGTGCTCGGCGGTTCACCGCCTTGTGAAGTCGTCGATTGTGATCGAATGTACACTGGCGCTGGATTCCATACGAGCACGGGACATGGGGCGTGCGTGACCAAGTACTGCGGGAAAGGACTCATGAATCGAGCGCGCAAGTGACTACTCGACGTCGCTCTGCCCACGACGGCGAGATTCACGTCTGTCAAGTTCAAAAAGTCAATCGTTCGGTCGCGCACGTCGTTCGCCGATCCCGTCCCCGGCTCGAGAGTCATCCGGACCACGCGACCACAAGTGTGAGGGTTCGCCTTCTGAAACTCTTGCACCAGATCGAACGCGCGACACATGTTTTCTTCCACGTCGGCGTCGGTGATGTCCTTCTGCCTCTTTTGCGACTCGGACGAGCAGTGCAACAGGAGCACGACGTCGCTCGGTCGAATGTGCACGTTGACAAAGTACTCAACGAGTCTTCGACTGCTGTTCGAACCGCTCATCGCGATCGCGACGACGCGTTGATCGACGCCGCCGAGCTTTTGTTTCACGAGCTCCGGCTGTACCTCGATTTGCGGAAGCGTCGATCGAAAGAAGCACGTCGGAACCGCGATTCGATTCAACACGTTTTGCGTCACGCTCCCGAGGAGTGCGCGACGAACGAGGCCGTGTCCTCGGCATCCCATGACGATCAAATCTGGTCTCGGTATCGAGATCCAATTATCGTTCCGATACGACGCGTGGTCGCTCGCGAACTCTCCATCGCAGATCGCCTGCACCGTCTCCTCGATCGAAAACTTGCCACACATGGAATCTATCTGCACGCATCGAACCAGCGCGTCCGGAAACGATATCCGTCGATCGAGCATCTCCGCCCGCGCGTGCTCCGAGAGCCAATCCGGGACGCGTCGACTCGCGTCGTCCCCCGCGTCGTCCCGCGCGAGCGGAACCACGCGCACGCCCGGACGCGACCGCGTCGCGTCGTCGTCATCATCCTTCACCCGAACGTCTCCACCGACGCCTCCCGGGCCGTACATCGACGCGCTCGACGCCCCTCGAACGAAGTGCGCGAAGAAGACGTCATCCGCGGGCTCCAACACGCGCGTCTTCTGAAACTCAACCAGCTTGGCGTCGTGCGCGCGCGCGCCCGAGAGCAGGCAGAGGATCGTCCGCTTCATTCGCGGCGTCGCGTTCGCGCCGTTCGCGGCGTCGTCGTCGCCCATCGCGTCGTCGCGCGTCGCGTCGTCGGGCGTCATCGAACGACGATTCATATTTTGCGCCACGCGCGCTAAACCCTGAACCGGACGCGCGCGCGGCATCGTTCGACGCGTCATGTCGACCGCGCGCGGGGCGTTTCGCGCGTTGATGCGCGCCCGCGCGCGGGCGTTCGACGGTGACGCGCGCGCGCTCGATGCGGCGCGGGTGGAGATCCGCGCGAGGTTCGAAGAGGCGAGAGACGCGGACGAGGCGCGGGCGAGCGCGATGATTCGGGAGGCGAACGACGCCGCGAGGTTCATTCGAGAGAACGTGGTGCAGGCGAGACGAGAGGAGGAAGATGGAACGTTTAAGATGGCGGTGGAGGCGAGACACGCGGAGGGACTGACGATTGAGCGGGCGGATGGGAGGGATGACGGCGGGTGCGGGAGCGCGAAGAAGGAAACGTAGACGCCGGACGCGGTCGATCTTTGTATTTTTTACAAGCAAATTGAATAGACGTCGGTTTGAGATACATGTACACGTGTGTAGGCCACGTTCGTTTTCATGAACGCGGCGAGAGATGATAAACCTGAAAACAATGAAATTGTATCCGCGCGACGCTTCGTCCATCTGACGCGAGCGTTTTTTTGCGCGAACTGAAAAAATAGTGTGAAAACTCCCATCGCAGATGACGCGCGATGGCGTGTGAAAAATAAACATGTCACGCTTGGCGAATTTATCAAGCGGGAACGGGACCCTTGAACTCACTCGGAGGGCGGTTCTTATCCTCGTTCTTCGCGAAGCGCCCGCCGACTCGGCGGCGAGTCTCAGCGCGTACCTTTCTCGCCTCGTATTGGATGTGTTTCCCGTACGAGCGAATTTTCTTCTTCGCATGGTAACGTTCCAATACTTTCTTTCGTGCGGAGCCACCCGGGAGCTTGGACAAGCTATCGGGCTCAGCGCCGAAAAACGCTGTGGACGACATTGAGTGCGGAAACGGTTCCTGCGAAACCATGTCCTTCCTGGACGGTCGACCGATTTTCTTTGGCTTGTTCTTCGGCATTCCACCATCAAAGGCGTAGAGACTATCGTTGTTGCCATCGTCCATCCCAGAACTGGTTCCCTGGAGGAACCTATCCACACTTTCGTTGCCCCTGGTCGCCTTGAAAGCGTCGTAGACCTGCTCATCGCTCATCGCTTGCGACGCGGCGCTCTCGTCGTTCGCCGAGCTCACGTCGAAAATTGTCGAAAATTTATAGCCCTCAGTGGGCGATGACATCTTCGCCGCCGCGCGCGGTCCTGGAACGGACGCGCCGAGGCTTTGATCGAGCAAGTCAAACGAGGGCAGACGAATCAAACCTTCGATGAACGCGTCGTCGTCTTCCGCTGACACACTCCCCGCATTCGTCGACGTATCCGGTCGACCAAAATCAAACCGATCAAACGATGGCTCCTCGCTCGGCCGAAGCTGCGATTTCCGCACAAGATTCCAAAACGTCGCGTCGGATACTTCGGCGTCCAACGCGTGCGTCATTGCTTTGCTCCTATTCGACGGCCTCCCTCTTCGCGTCGCCGACTTTCCGAGCGCGTTATACTCCTCCTCACTCAACGCGCACTCGTGAAACGGCCTCAACGTCGCCGCCGGTTCGGAACCGAACGCCTGCGCGCACCGCTCGCACGCCGTCGTCCCGGTGAGCCCGTCGCCGTTTTCAATTGTGATCTGTCACGTCGTCGCATACACGCTGCGTCAGTCAAAACACTCCCCCTTACGCGCACGTGAAATCACATCAAAGCATCCATCGAGTTTCACCGCCGCCCGCGCCCGCGCATCGTCGACGTCGCCATAAAACCGCGTAGACCTAAAAGCGCTTTTTCTAACCGTCGACGCCCTTCATTCACACACACACGCACCTCGGCGCACGCGTGCGAGCACATTCCGCACAGCCACCGTCGCACGTGACGCTCGGCAAACTTATTCGCCCCGTGTACCTGCGCGTACGACGAACCCGGTCGAGAAACGCGCGTCAGTCGCGGAATCCTTCGCTCGACGCGACGCGCCCACGGCGTGCCCTCACGCGGCGATTCACGCCTCTCTCGCGCCCTCGCGACGTCGCGCGCACGCACCGCTCGATCGCATCGAAGGCATAATTTCGCATCGTCCGCGGCGCAGTACAAACGGGCGACGCGCGAGGCGCACGCCTCGCACGGCGCGCGCGGTTGCGCCATCGACGCGACGACGTGTGTCGACGCGCCGAGCCTAGACGCTTTTTCGCCCACCGTCGCCTTCGGGGACGGTTCTCCCAAAGGCGTGAAAGGCGCGGTCGACCGGTCGACGCCTTTCGAATGCGCACCGGTGTGGATGCACTTTTTGATAGTGCGGGTGTGTGCGTGCGTCCTGAGTCCTGAACCGAGGCGGAGTCCACGCGCGGGCGCGGCGCGCGGGCGCGACGGCGACGGCGACGCCGGCGCGCGCGACGGCTTCGGGGTCATCTGAAGCCGTGCCCGTCGACGTGCGCGTCCTCGAGCGCGCGCGCGGCGTCTCGCGCGCGGACGCGATCGAGGAGGTCTCGGATCTCCGATCGGTCGGCGTACCGCGTCGCCTGCGAGCGCGCGAGAGAGAGCGCGCGGTCAGCGCGCGCGGTCGTGCCCGTCGTCGCGCCCGTCGTTTCCGCGCGTCGGGAGTGGAGAACCGCGCGTTCGCGTCGTCGCGTCGTCGTCGTCGGTCGTCGCGCGCGCACCTCGGGGGCGGCGTCGAGGGCGTCGAGCGCCTCGGTCATCGCGCGCGTCAACGGTTCATCCTCCAGCGCCGCCTTACGGTCCATCTTCGGCGATACCTGCGCGCGACGATCGATCGATCGATCGTCACATCATCGCTCAGTCATCGCCCGCGTCCACGCCCGCGCGCGTCGCGGGACGTCGTCGGAAGACGCGACGTGGTGAAGTGTACGAAAAATCAACGCGTCGTCGCAACGGCACCGAGTCCACCGCGCGTCGCCCGTCCATCGTCCGCGTCGCGCGCACCTGCACGAAACCATCGACACCGCTCGCGTCGGCGTCGTCTCGCGCGCTCGCGACGGCGGTGTCGAACGTGGACGCGCGCGCACCCATAACTGCGCTCGAGCGGCACACAATGGCGCACCGCGCGCGCGCTTTCGTCCTCTGCACGCTCGCGCTGATCCTGCGCGGCGCGACGCGCGCGCACGCGTTCGGTAACGGCGCCGGATCGTGCGCGCACGGCGGCGTCGGGCACGGCGCGAGCGAAACATCGGGCGGTGGAGATATTTTCTCGATCGTCATCGGTGCCTCGGGCGTCGATGTCCCGAGCGCGACGGTGCCCGTGGGCGTCAAGAGCGTCTCCGGAAAGACGTTTAAGGGGTTCCTGCTGCGCGTCGTGCGAGACGACGACGGCGTGGCGGTTGGGTCGTTCGGGGAGGACATGCCGAGCGGGACGCGCAGGGCGGACGGTTGCGAGCGGTTCGCGACGCACGCACGGAGTCACATTCGCGGATACGAAGAGAGCGTGATGCCGTGGATAGTGCCGACGTTAGATGTGGGGACCCGGGTGCGGTTCGAGGCGACGATCGTGGTGTCGTACTCGGTGTGGTACACCGCGACGCGGACGGTGGTAGTCGGCGACGGCGACGCGGATGAGGGCGTGAAGTACGACGAAACGCGGGCGCCGGCGAGAGCGCCGGGCGGAGCGAAGGCACCGAGTGTCGACGCAGCGCTCGCGGGGGGATGGACAGGCGAGTCTCCGAAGGATGGGGCGGTGAAAGCGCGCGACGTTGGCGTGGTGCGAACAGCGGAAGACGTCGATCAGGGGCGGCGGCTCAGCGACGCGGCCGTCGTTCACGGAGCGGTGATGTCCATCGCGTGGTTGATAGTATCACCGGGAGCGTCATTGATCGCGAGATACGGGAAGAAGTACGATCCATGGTGGTTTCGAGCGCACAGAAACGCGCAGTGCGTGGCGCTCGGCGTCACCGTCGTCGCCGCGTACGTCATATGCGCGGCGCGCGGATGGGACAAACCTTGGGGTCCGCACGGGAAGTACGGTCTTATCGTCATTCTCCTCGGTGCTATCCAACTGTTCGGTGGATTTATTCGAAAGAACGTGCCGCGCCCGGAGTTCCGTCGATGGCACCGCGCGCTCGGCGTCGGCACGTCAGCGCTCGCCGCGTACAACTGCACCATCGGCGCCGGCATGCTCAAGCGTCTCGAAGCCGTGCGAGATCCAAACTCTTCCGCCTCCGCGGCGCCACATTTGGTAAATCTGTGCCTGTTCGCCGTAGCCGTCGTCAGCGTTCTACTCGAGAGCCATCGCAGGGACGCGACGAGGCGCAACAAATCCGTCAAGTCCATGGTCTGATCGCGCCTCTCGACTCAAACTTAGTTCGTCGCTCATTGAATAGTAATCCTGGCGTCATCGCCCATTCGCTGGACGCGACGCATTCATATGCACGATCGACGTTCCGCGCGTCTGCTCGGCGTTTGAAAACAGTTATCCAGCCCTATCCTTCACACATCACTCCGACGCGCGGCGCTTCATGCCCCTCCGACGCGTCATCGCGCTCGTCCTCGGTGCACTCGTCGCCGTTCCCGACGGCGCGCGCGCGAGGGCGTTGATTCAAACCGACGCGGCGCGATGTCCGAGCGTCGGTTCGAAATCCCACGGCGGTTGTGACGACGCCGTGCGCTCGCTCTCCGCACCGTTCGACATGTGGGAGCTCGCGCGATCGTGGACCCCTGGTTTCTGCGGCGGTACCCCCGGGGCGTGCTCGAAGAGGGAGTGCAGGGGCGACGGGGCGACGGACGCGCTGACCTTGCACGGGCTGTGGCCGAGCTACGTCGAGGCGACGGGTTCGAGGAAGTGTTATTGGCCACAGAACTGCGTGAAGCCGAGATGGTATCCGGCGAGCGAGCCGTGGGCGTTCGATAAAACAATCCTTCCGCGCGGAAAGGCGACGGAGCGGACGGCCCCGGCGTGGACGCTTGACGATTTGGGCTCCCACGAGTGGGCTAAGCACGGGACTTGCGCGGCGTGGCTAGATGCGAGCGGTGAAACGCGCGGGATGACCCAGCGTGAGTTCTATAATGTCACGTTCGCGTTGGCAGAAACGCTCGGGACACCGGACGCGCTCGTGCGAGCGGCGGGCTCGGATCTCTCGCTCGCGGAGGCGCAGGCGGCATTCGGCGGCGAGACGCGCGTCGCGCTCGGATGCACTCGGAAGTGTGTTCTCGTCCAGGCCGTGCAGTGCTTCGCCAGGGCCGTGGATGGGGGTGTGGGTGAACCCATCGATTGCCCGTGTGTCGGTGTGCGCGATAGTCGCTACGATAATTCGTGCGCGGCTCAATGCGAGCGCGTACGCGTGCTCTCGCCCGAGCAGACGGGGTGCGATGATGACCTCAAGCTCGTCGTCGCCGCGAGCTGAGCGATTCGACACGATCATATATATGACGTCATCGCGCACCGTTGTTGTATTTCACGCATTCTTTCGCTCTCTCTCGCGCTCTCTCTCGCGCGCTCGTCGGTTACGCCGCTCGCCCGCGCCGCACTCGTCGACGCCGCCGCGACGATGTCCGACGCCTTCGCGTCGTTCAATGAGGCGTGGGACGACTTCACCGCCAGAGTCGCCGCCGGTTGGGACGGCTTTTTCAGCTCAACGAACAGACGACGCGACGAGAGCGGACGAATCGCTCGAGCTCGCGCGACTGGAATCGTGAGCGAACGCGACGCCGGACACGTCGCTCTGCCGTCGTACGCGTGCGAACTGGGAGAGAAGGTGCGCGTTTTAGACATAGGGCAGAATGCGATCGCTTCGTTGGAGGAGCAGGCGCTCGGAAGGCTCACGGGGACGACGCAGGCGCGGCTGGACGGGAACGCGCTCCGCGCGCTCCCGCGCGCGCTGTTCGACATGACGCGTTTGCGAACGCTAGACGTGCGAGGAAATCGCCTGCGCGCCATACCAGACGCTATAGATCGTTTGCGGGCGCTGGAGCAGTTGAACATGGACGATAACGAGCTGGAGACGCTCCCGGCGAGTCTCGGACGGTTGACGCGGCTGCGTCGCGTGACGGCGAGCGGGAACAAATTGCGAGATTTCGCGTGCGCGGCCGCGCTTGGATCGTGCGACGCGCTCGAGGTGGTATCGTTCGCAAAAAATGTGAGGATGCGAGGCGCGATTCCGTCGAGTTGGTCGCGTCTCGAGAGATTGAAGGAGATCGACGTCGACGAGACGGCGGTGGAGTCGGTACCGGCGGAAATTTTCTCCGGGTGCGTCGCCCTTCACACCCTCAGCGCTCGCGCGTGCTCAAATCTGGATATTGGCGCGCTCAAATCAACCCCTGGATACGACGAATACGACCGTCGTCGCGTCGACAAGCACACCAAGCAAATCGAGTCCAGAGTGCTCCTCGACTCGGCGCGTCTCGACGAGCGCCTCGGGTAACCCCTCGCGCCCGCGCTCGCGCCGCGTCCAACGCCCATCGTCATCACATTATCACCCAACGATTCTTTTCCACCCCCCATCCGCCCGTCGCACCGCCCGCGCGTCCGACGGATGGAAAATCATCCATCCGCCCGCGCCGCGCCACCGTGAAATGTGCCACGCGTCGCATTCACGCGTCCCGCACTCCGCGCCGCGCGACACCGCGTCCCGGCGCGTCCGGCGCCCCCCGCGCGGCGGATCTCATCGCCGACGCGCTCGCGGGACGGTCGCGTCGCCGCGTCGGCGCCCCGCGCGCCCGTGGGACCACATCCGTGGTCGATGCTCTTCTCCGAGGAACACAAGGCGCTGGCGTCGGTCGATCCCGAGGCGACGCCGGACGAGCGGTTCGGTGGTTTCTGGAACTCGGTGTGGAACCTCGGCGTCGCGGCGGAGGACGCGGCGCGAACGGTGGCGTTGGCGGATCTGCACGATCGAGGGGGGGCGGAGGAGATGGAAAGGCCGGGCGCGGAGGAGGCGGACGCCGTCGCGCGCACGGCGGAGGCGGTTGAAAGGGAGCGACGTCGGGAGCGTGAACGGCTTCGAAGCATTCGACGACGACGGAATCAGACGGAGGAACAACGCGAACACGAGCGTCAGCGCTCGCGGCGTCGACGTCAGGCGATGTCAGCCGAGCAGAAGAAGGCGCACGCGCGCGCGAAGCACAAGCTTCGAAAGACGATGAAGCAGCGGAAGGAAACGCTCCAGGCCGCGGAGGTCCTCGCGACCGTGGTCGCGGAAACCCAATGATTATGCGACCAAAAGTCCGGTCAAGAACTGGTACACGGTGAACCGAGCACCACGTATACTAAAGGTGAAATACCGCGCCCCATTGTTGTACCAAAGTTGTATTGAAAGCCGCCGTTAACCGGTACAGTTACCAGTAGCTATTTCGAAGTCGTTCGTGAAAAGTGCGCGCGCTGTTGTGCACGTCGTCGTTCACGCTAATTGTGATGATGGTGGCTCCAATCGATTCGTTGTTACATGAAGCGTCACTTTTTGCGTCTCATCACTGAGCGGGTGTCATCATCAAGGCGCTGCCTTTCTCGCCCGCGCGGATGTGAAGTAGTGTCTCGGTCGTCGCTCGCTTCGGTCGCGGATTCATTCTACTCAGTTTCGTCGGTCGCGGCGACAGTCGCGGGCTCGTCGGCGCTCACCGTTTCATCAGCCTCCTCTTCGGTGGCTGGCGGAGGGACGACGTACGAGACGGCGCCGTACATGCCCGGATAGCCGGGGTACGGCACCTGATGCATCATAGGATGCATCGCGCCCATGACGTGCGGCGGCATGCCCATCGCCATGTGCGGGTACATTGCGTACGGAGGGTAGAATGGGCCTTGAGATCCGTATCGCTTGGACCCGTAACCCCCCAAACCGTTGGGTAAGTGACGAGCATCGTCGGGGCGTCCGACGTGTCGCATCGCTTCGCTCACGTCGATCATCTTGCCCATGAACGGCATTTGGCGCTGCGCCTTGACCATTTCCGCGACGGCCACATCGGCGAAAACGATAAAGCCGTATCCCTTGCTCACCCCTGTCCGCCTATCGTAGATGAGCTTGACACTGAGAACGACGCCGTAGTGAGAGAAGAACCAACCGAGCGCCTCGGGCGTGGCCTCGATCGGGAGCCCTCCGCAAAACACGGTGCTCTCCGTCCCCGGCGCACACGATGACGCTGAGGCCCCGCTACCCTCGCTCTCGTACTCGGTCTGATCATCCATAGAACCGACGTAGTTCGGGCTGCTCGCCAGCGTCGCCCCCTTCGCGGTCACCTTTGATCCCGGTCGAGCCACCGGAACGGCCGCTCCGCTCTTGCGAGGCTGTCGACCACCCTCCCCAATGGATATTCTCGCCACAAGATCGCTCAGAGAGTCTCTGGAACCACCGCTCGAGAGCCTCGAAGCGCGCGCTCGATGCCCGCCCACTGGCTCGTCCCGAGTGGCCTCCTTCACGTCCACCGCCTTCCCGTCGATCACCAACTTCTCCAGCGTCTTCACCTTCCGCGCCACATCGACATCAAAAAATTTCACGAATCCGTACCCCTTCCGCGCCATCGTTTGTCGATCGTAGATCAACTTGACGCTCTCCACCGGGCCGAAATTCTTCTCAAAGTGCGCGCGCACCGCGTCTTCGTCGCTCTCGTGCGACGTCCCGCCGATGAACACCGTGCGCTCTCGAGAGTCATCGCTCACGCTCAATCGCGCGCGTCTACGCTCATCCTCCGCGCCCTCGCTCGCGTGCTCGATCGCCTTCGCCTCGTCCCTCTCGTCGTCCGAGACCTTCTCGTCGGCATCGACGTCACGCGTCGACGCATCGTGCGGTATCGTCTTCGTCCCCTTCGCGCGCGCGTCCGCGTCCACGGACGCGTCCGCGTCCACGGACGCGATCACTCGAACGCTCGCCTCCGTCGTCATCGGTGGCGTATCGCGCGCGTCGACGAGCGACGTCGACGACGCGTCGCGCGCGACGTGGGCGTGGATTAATCACGACGTGGCTTTTTCAAAGGGGGTATCGGCGAGTCGTGAGTCGTGAAAAATCGACGCGCGTGAAAAATCAACCGACGTCACACGAGACGTGGCCTCGGGAGATGCAGATGTCGTACATTACGGACGTGCGCGCGATGTGCGTAGATTTTTGTGTGTACGCGTGACGCATCGCGCGAGGCGCGGTCTCGGGGGGTGGAGATGCCGTACATTACGTCCATTCGCGGTGTGTGGGATGGATCGGGGACGAGGCGACGCGACCGAGGGGCGGGACGCGCGACCGAGGGGCGGGAACGGCGCTCGGGGGGGGTATCGCGCGTTGGGAAGATTGGCGTGCGTCGTACGCGAACGAGTGTGATTACACGCGTCGCGCGCGGCGTCTACGCGGGCGTCGAACGCGCGCGGAGCGCGCGACGGGGCGGGTGGAATTCGCCGTCGCGGCTTCTCGAGGCGCGCGAGGCTTAGAGCCTGTGCGTGGCGCCGCACTTGCCGCAGTAGACGCGGTCAAAGTGGTGGGCCAAGAAGACACCGGCGCCGCACGTCGCGGACGTGCACTCCTTGCGGAGGCGTTCGACCTTGCCGGCGTCGTCAACCTTGTAGAGCTTCAAGATGGCGAGCTTCACCTTCTTGTGCACGTGCTTGACCTTCTTCGGCTTGGTGTACGTCTTCTTCTTACGCTTCTTACCACCCCCGCGCAAGCGCAACACCAAGTGGAGCGTGGACTCCTTTTGGATGTTGTAGTCGGCGAGCGTGCGGCCGTCCTCGAGTTGCTTACCCGCGAAGATCAGACGTTGCTGATCCGGCGGGATCCCCTCCTTATCTTGGATCTTCGCCTTCACGTTGTCGATGGTGTCCGAGGACTCCACCTCCAAGGTGATGGTCTTACCCGTCACTGCGATCGTCGAACGAACGAAGTGCGCTCAGTCAGTCTTCGAGCTCTGGAAACACACTCACTCGGAATCATGAACTTCGTCGGCTCATCGAGGTCGACGTCCATCGTCCCCACGTCGACGCCGCATTCGATGACGAACGTTATCATTCACGCGATTCCATCCCTTCGCTCCCGATCACGCGTCGAATCGCCCACGACACCGCGCGAGTCATCATCATCATCAAGCCCTAACCCGCGATCGCCCGCGCGCCGATTCCTCGCTGCTCTGTCGATTCTCTACGCGCGCGCGTCGCGTCGCGGTGCGGAACGTACGGGTCTTAACGAAAATTTGCATCTTTACCGTGCTCGGGAGAAACGTCCGTCGTCGCGCGGCTGCGAGAGGCGGCTCGCGCCGCGAGGACGCCGAATTCGAGGTGCTTACAAAACCCCAGCGGAGGAAATGATCGTATGGCTTTTCATGACTTTTTATGCGTCACGAAAACGACGGTTCGTGTCTCACCGAAAGGTCGACGCGATGGCACACCGCGACGCGTGCGAGCGCGCGCGATGGACGCATCGCGCGCGTCTATGGATGCGGAATCAACGCGTATCGAAGGCGTGGCGATGAAGGAGGCGACGGTGGCTGTGACGAGCGAAGATGAGGATGATTTCGAAGATGAGGATGGATTTTGTTTGGTGAGCGACGAGAGCGCGAGGCGAGACGCGCGGGCGTTCGTGGCGTCGTGCGTGGACGATTGCGATATAGAAACGATAGAGGCGGATGATATTCGTCGAGCGATCGCGAGGGCGATGCTAGAGGCGCGAGAACGAAGCGGTCGGGGTAAAGGGTGGCGCGCGAGAGCGAGACGGACGAGACGATGGACCAGACGCGCGTGGCGATGGACCAAGAGCGCGAAAAAAGCGTCGGTGGCGCTTCAACATCCGTGGACACGACGAGTGGCGATGGCGGTGATGTGTGGAACGGGTCGAGTGGCGTGGACGACGATGGTGGCATGGGCGATGTGGTGACACGCTTCTATTTGAGACGCGTCGATCGCATTCAGACGAGACGAGACGAGACGAGAAGACATGCAAGTATTGTAAACAAGAATGAATGGTTTTCTGGGTACAACGTGCTAATCGTGTGTTAAGTGAATTTCGTCGGCGCCGTCGCCGCGGTATCGCTGAATCCCGCGCGCTGCCAGTCGCATTGCGCTCGAAGACCGACGCGGCGCTTCATCTCGAGCGTCGTCTCCGCCGGAATCAGATTGCTCTCAATCGCGAGCCTTGTGAGGGTTTTGTTCTCATCCATGGCATCCATGAGCTCATTCGCCCCGTCTTTTCCTATGGTGTTTCGAGTCAAGTCGAGCGTTTCCAACGACGTATTCTCGCGGAGATCGGATGCGAGATCCGAGGCGCCCGAATCGCCCAACGCATTTGAGCCCAAGTTCAGCGTCTTAAGGCTGTTGTTCTCACCGAGCGCATCGGCGATCCACCAAGCATCATCATCCGTCATCTCATTCGCCTGTAGACTAAGCTGTTTCAGATTTGAAGCCTTGGACTTGAGTGATTTCGCGATCCACTTCGTCCCGTCTCTCAATGAATTATTCGACAGATCCAAATCCTCGACGTCATTCAAAGATTCCGCGAGCGCGTGCGCGCCGTCTGAACCCACGGTGTTACACTTTAAATCAAGTCGTTTTAACATTTTAGACGCTCGACCGACGGCATCGTCGTCTCCACCGCCGTGCACGTCCATGTCATCGTCATCCGATCGGTGGCGTTTGCGCAAAGCCTCTGCGATCGCGCGCGCTCCGTCCGCGCCGATCCCATTGAATCCCAGGGATAAATTCTCAAGCGAGCCTAAACCGTGCTGTGCGAACGCGTGCGCCCCGTGATCACCGCATCCGTTGTGTTGTAGATCTAAATCTCGAAGGTTTGAAGCGCCGGCAATTGCTGCGACGAGTGCGCGTACCCCCTCCGCGCCGATCAAGTTCTGCGCCACGTTGAGCGCCTTGAGCGAGGATTTCTCCCTCGAGAGCGCACACGAGAGCGCCAACGCACCGTCTGCGCCCAATGAGTTCGCCTTGAGATCTAATCTCTCCAGAGGACACCCATTTTCATCCAGAACCTCCACGAGCGCCTTCGCGGCGTCGACGCCGAGTCCGCAAGACGACACGTCCAAGTTTCTCAGCGACCGCGCGTCGCCCTTGAGCGCCCCGATGAGAGTCGTGAACCCGTCGACGCTCAACCCTTTCCCACCGCGCAAAGTGAGCGAGGTCAGGCGCTCTAAATTCGACGCGCCGCCGAACCCGCCGCGCAGCGCCAGTCCTAACAACCACGCCGCGCCGTCTCGCGGTCTCCGAACCTCCAGCGCCAGTTCCGCCCCTCGGTCGCTCGCCAACGTCTCCGCGACCGCGTTCGCTTCGTCCAGCGCGCGCATCTCGTCCTCCACGCCTAAATCCAGCGTCGCCGCGCGTCGTCGCGCCTTCGCCCGCGGCGGCGTCCGTCCCCCGCGTCGCCGCCCACCCAACCCGCGCACCCCGTCCCCCCACCCGCCGTCGAACGCGAGCGTGAGCCCTTCAAGCGCCTCCGCCGCCGCTCCCGCCCCTCGCGCGCGCTTCACCGCGCCGTAGCGCTCCTCGAACGCGCCGATGTCATCGCGCTCGCGCGTCGCTCGAACGCCCAAGAAATCCAGCGTCTCCGCCGCCCGCGCGCGCGCCGCGGACGTCGTCGCCAGCGCGTCCGCGTCCTCGTCCGACGACTCGCTCGCGCTGGACATCGCGCGCGCGGCGCGGTGTCGCGCGAGGCGACGGATGGCGCGCGACGCGGCACATCGCGTCGCGACGAGAATGGTTGAACTCCGGCGTCGACCGCGCGCACCGCTCGCGTCGACGTCG